AGTCACTCAAGACAGGTCTGTAATGCAAGTTGGGAGCCCAAATATTATAATGTAATTGGGAGTTGTAAAGCAAGGAACCAGCAGCATGTGTCATTATCAGAGGACAGATGCTATTAGGGTGGTGCAAAAATAATTGCGGTTTTGACATTACTTTTAATGGTAAAAACCACAATTACTTTTGCAACAAACTAATATCATTTCATCCATTTAAATTTCATTAGTAATTTATTGTCTGGAAAGTATTTCTGAATCGTTGATATCCAATAAAAGATCAGCTTTACTATTTCATTTGATTATATAACTATATGGCCTGATGGGAAGGTTATGCTGATTTTAAGTAGCCATGTCAGCACCTTTTGTAGAAAATATTATTGAGCTTTAAAGCACAAATGTATTAATTCTGTCCTGTACTATGAGCTGATTGAATATGTTAAATCTGGATACTATTCATTCAATGATAGACTACTTTAATAACTTACTTTATTTTATCCTCACCATAATAGCTGAACCCATTAAGACTGATATTAGCATCCCCAATTTACAGGAAAATAACTTCAGGCTCAGGTTGGTTAAAGGATTTGCTGAGAGTAATACAACAAGGTGTAAAGTCAACACTAAAATCAAAACCTGCTGGGCTGCCCTTTATATATATGTATTAGAAGACATAACTATTATTCTGTGTTTTGGTAAATACATTCATCTTTTTTTCTTTTTAGCCTGGTGTTAAATACACATTTAATATAAATGGTTGAAGCATGAAATTTAAGAATATTTATTCATAACTTTTTTGATATGTTTAAATATATAGTATACTTATTCATGTATATTTAAATATATCTCCATGAAAACTATGATGTTTAATCAAATGACAGGAAATTAGAACTTTTCTATGAGTTTTGGGACAATGCTTCCTTTCATCTTTGTTCTTGAATCCTGCTTTTCATCTAGTAAAAAAAGTAGGTATCAGTGTTCCTGAACATCGTTAGAAGTAAATATGTAAGTGGGTGATTGTCCATTTTATAAATATAATTTTTCCTAAAACCCAGTTTCATCATAATTTATGTGGTGAAGCTATGGGTGAAGAATACGTATTCACTTTGGGGAGGTGTACCTTTGGGTGGTGGTGGAGGTTCCACTTTTTTAGGAGCGGGAACAGGGACTTTCTTCTCTGGCACAGGTTTCTTTGGCACTTCAGGCACTTAAAAACATTTCATTTGAAGGCATTAAAAACCACATATACATGGTCGTGTATATATATATAAGAAAGAGACACATGAGAGTAAGACCACAAACAAGTAAACATAATACGTGATCTGAAAAGACATTTAGATAACTTACAATAGACAGATACACAAGGCAGACACACAATAATAACAGCACAAATGTCTGGAATGTTTTCTAAGATTTAGGTGGTCAATTACAGAGGGTAAAGCATTATAGATAAAACTGGAGATGAACAAAAGGATGGAAAAGCAGAATTCAACACAAAAAAGGCCTTGATGATTCCAAGAAGAGCTGCCATACCTGCTGCAGGTACTGGCACCTTAGGTTTAACTTCTGGAAGGACTTCTTCTTCAGGTACAAATTCTTCTTCCTCAGGTACATATTCTTCTTCAGGAGGAACTTCCTCTTCCTCAGGTGGAATTTCCTCTTCCTCAGGTAGAACTTCCTCTTCCTCAGGTAGAACTTCCTCTTCCTCAGGTAGAACTTCCTCTTCAGGAACAATTTCTTCTTCAAATGGAACTTCCTCTTCCTGAGGTAGAGCTACAGGAACTGGTTCACGTTTCTTTGGCACTTTAAAGATATTTATTCAAGGGTAGAAACATCACTTTTATGTAAAATATTCAAAACAGTGAAGAAGCTTATGAAAGACAAATATTCTGTGATCACAAAGCATCGATTATCATCAACATAAAAACTAAGCATTAATTATAATTAGTAAGGCTGTATAACACCAGTTAGTTTTCTCTTTTACTATGGCTCTGTTACAGATTAATGTACCTTTGGGTGGTGGTGCTTCCACTTTTTTCGGAACAGGTGTTGGTTTCTTTTCTTCTGGGATGAGCTTCTTGGGCACCTCTGGCACTTTAAAGATATTTTTTGTGTTTAGGAATATGTTCTCTTACAATGTCTTAGAGCAATAGATATGAAAAAGAATTGCAAAATACCTGACATATTTCTAACAAGATAGACACTTTAAAAATGTACAATGTAATGGGGAAATTTGTGTAGGAGTATACATAGATGTGCATTTTTTCCCCCAAGTACTTTAAATGATGAAATGATGTACCTTTCGCAGG